GCGTTTCCTTTAGCATTTAAAGAAACCGGAAGTGCGCCCGATATATAATGGAAGTTACCCTATCAGCGCGTGCGCAATTTACACCACCAGCGCACTTCGGTAGGATCAAACAAAGCCACACACGGAGTTAGTTTTTCTCTTTCTATTGCTCCTGTTTTTCTGTCTTTTTCTTATTTTGTCTCTGCTTGTACTTTTTTTTCTTTGCATTTTGTGAAACACAAAGAAAAGCATCTAAAATGTAAGCGAATTTGGAAGTTATTGAGTTGTTTTTATTTTCGGCGCTCAGGCTGACGTAAATAACCGGAAGTGAAATTTCACCTCCTTAGCAACGCACGCGAGCGCGCGCATAAATCGGTTAATGGACCCTTAAATTAGGTATCGAATTTTTGGACAGTTCATAAAAAGGGTTGGGAAAATCGCCGATTTTGGTCTTAAATAGGGTCAGGGTTCTTGGCCTGCCGCTAGTAGCAATTTCTAAACCTATTATGTTTATTTGAAATATTTCTTTCTTTTAGTTTAAGTGGCATGCCTGAAAAATAGCCATGTGTAGTTGAGCGCATCAACCACTATAAACATGCAATATTTTTTGCAATGCAGATCCGTTTGCAAAATCATAATAAATCTATCCACATTACGTTTCATAAAATTCACTCTGTTTTTAGATGGTAACCTTGTCGATGACATTCAGCAAATCATTTTCAATGACGCCACCGCCAGCCACAAAACACGCGGGTTTACACGCTGAAATTCTCGTGTGGAGTTCTGAAGGTCCAATATTTGCTGGGGCAGGAACTAATGTTGCACCTAAAAGGAACACATAAATGAAATGAATAGCCGGAAAACGCTAGTCTAATTCAATAGAAAAATTGAAAGAGAAGATAAAGGTAAAGTCTGCATACGAGCTAAGTGTGCAATCAGGCCGGAGGTTATCCCAGTTTCTGTCGCATGAAGCGACTAGGAGAATTTCTACTCCCCTTTGGATGGGATGCTAGTCCATCGCAGGGTTACCCACAACATCAAGTTCGCCGGTACCCATTTGTACACCTGGGTGGAGAGAGGCACTGTGAGAGTAAAGTGTTTTGCCCAAGAGTACAATGCAATGTCCCCGGCCAGGGCTCGAACCCGGACCGCTCGATCCGGAGACGAGCACACTAACCATGACGCCACCGCGCCTCCTTCTAAATAGGGGAAAAACAACTTCAAAACCTAGTCTTTTCCAGACGTCTATGGACACGTCGCGTTTTTGTCAATAATAATGATGTGTATTCATTCAATATTGACATAATATACTGTACCAAGTCAAACAACATTGAAAAATGCTTCGCAGTTCAGAAACATTTGTAACAAGTTGACAATTTGTCCAGTGTCCTAAAGATTTTCACCAAAACATGGGAGTATGTTATTTTTACAAACCAAAACGAGCGGACAACTATCAAATTTAAAAACATGTTAGGTACCTGTTCTTAAACACGCTAGTTGAATCAACCAGTACTCGGGAATTCTGTGCACCAAAATCATCACTCTGTCTCCTGGCTTGATGTTGGCAGCGGTGCACAAAACGTTTGCAGCCCTGTTAGTTGAGAGAAATCAGGGTACGTTTTTGATCATTGCAACGAGGAATGCCTGAAGATGTCCTCAAACGAAATGAAATGAGACCCACACTATTTAGTTCAATAAGCTTCAAGCGAGGAACATAGTAAAATTGCCCTCCAGCTTTAAACAGAATCATCTCAATCTTCAAACAGGCCTGAGTAGCAAGAAAACACCAACAACAACAACTTTATCGGTACCCATACCCAGAATTAAAGTTTACAAAAATACGTTTTAAAATACAGAGAGTACATGACCACCCGGAATAATCTTAATGGGCTATTTAAGACTGGGCAGCCATCCTTAGTGATTACAGCAATCATATATTAGGGTCACATACTAGAAGAGAAAATAAGAAAAATATACATGCCACAGAACCCACGGCACACACAAAAAGAGACCAAGTGTACATACAGATTTAATGAAAAGTAGTTGGATAATACAGTGTATTGACGAGAAGAGTTACACTTTACCTGCAGAGGTACAGATATTCAATATGTACTAACAGCTTGCAATAACATGTGACTTGATCTTTTTCTAAAATGTTTAAGTGGCAGAAGCTTAATACTATCACTAATATCGTTCCAGATCTAATGTTAAAGATTCCATAGTTTGTACTGGTTTTTGGGAGAGCATACGTCATTCTAGATGAAAGCCTTGTATTGTACATACATAATTGCTAGTTCCCAGAGGTCGCGCCATAAATAGCAAAATCCGCGCGGGTCCAACACCGTAGGTACTCAATTGGCGCACTTTTCGTCAAATCGGAGAAATCTGATTGGCTCAGAAGACGAAACGAATACATGTCCATGCTAAAAAAATTCTTTGTGTTCATCAAAAGATTCTCGGCGTGTAGGGAAGAGAATGTCAAACAACATCGAATGCAACAAGAAGTGAGGGAGCCTAAAAGCAGATTTTGATTTGTTTACACGGACCAGTTTGTTATTTGATATCCATTGGTTGATCAAATCAAGAATCTAGAGGCTTACCGCTTCGAGTTTGAAGCAAGATCTTGAAAATTCCACTTCACCTCTAGTCCTTCGCCATCGACCCACCACAAAGCGGGAATGTCGCCTTCTCTTTGACCATTCTAGAACGTGAACCCAAAATAACCACATTTCACTTGTAAAGGAAACACGATACTCATGTTCCAAGAGGTATACATACAGGACCAGTGTCTAAATCTAAAAGAAGCTGTAAACATGATGCTAAAAATGTACGTATATGCCCAAGATGGATATGGTGCTTAAACGTGAAGACTGTCGTAGTTTCGGAATTGGAAGTGACAGGGGTGACAAATGGTCCGCCAGAAACAATTTTCGATGGAAACTGAATTTTCGTTGAATTTCACGGGTCTCGCAATCTCCTTTTTTAACGGTTATGTTCCTCTCGCAGTCATCGATCTTTTCTGAAAGCTGTTTACCAGTATCGCTTTTTGCAAGGCTAAAAAAGTCTCCACGAACCGATTTTTGTTTTTTAACAAATGGCGTCTGAACGTCTTAGAACCTGAGAGTCTCGAGTTGGCATTGAAAAACACTTTAGGTATATATAAGGCTATCCCTACTTTAAATTCTGAGATGTACAGCAGCTTCTCTAGTTTCTCTTAAAGCAATTGACAAATTTGGGTTATATTCCAGGTTATATAGCTTTTTCTTTGCTTGGCTGGGTTATCTGGAAGCCGCATTTCTAAGGTAACCGAGTACATTGAGAATGTTCATAGTTTTCTGGGCTGAAACTGAAATCAAGATCCGTTTTTAGACTACAATAGCTCGTCACCTTTTCTTTGCTTGCCCACTCATCTAGGACGTCAGCAAAGTTGAAGTACTCCGGAACTTGAAAATCTTTAGATCCCCAGATTGAGTCACCTTCCATTGTTTGTTTATCAGCTTTCAAGAAAGTAAAAACGGTGAGAAGTTACTCGTTAAATATTGACAGGCAAACGGAATAAAACCAGGAATAGAGATCGCAAGGAACGGACTCTGTTATTTGTGAAAGGGGTGGGGGCATATAACGAGGCCCCTTTCAAATCCCCAATGCTGAATAAAAACCCCTTCCGCTCTAAGAGTTAATTAGCGTGACGAGCGTGACGCACGTGACGAGTGATGTGACAAATGTTAAGAAAGCTCGTGTCACCATAGCTTATCTCATTTCGTGTATACCGTATATATATTTCGTATATATATATGAAAATATATATGCGATAACCTGTTTAATACGTATATACATGAAATAAAGTTTTCTTTTAAGTCCATAGTAAAGCTTCGTCCTGCCGATTTTACTGCTCGTTCATCGTCTCGTTTCAACCAACCGATCTCCCGACGATGTTCGTGTGTGTTGCATTATGAAAATGTTTCTCAGTATCACATTTACATTATGAAAATACTTGCGCGACTCGGACAATATTACATCGTCAGTAGGTAGGTGTGTTTTAACTAAAGAAGCAACCTAATAAAGAGGCAACAATGGGTTTCGTTGTTTAATAGTCTTTCAATCAGTTGCACAATCATTCTAAAACAGCTTGTGTTGCGAAGTAGATATTCCATTGTTTGATGCAAAATCACCCGAGTGAGACATAGAAACTCTTTTCTTGGTTGTCAAAAAGATCGACCTTCCTTAAATTAAGTTCACGTCAGATGATCTGGAGAACAAAGCGGGAGCAGCAGTATAAAGCTATTTTCAAGAGGGACAGCAGGATTGCTACAATAATTAAAAAACAATAATGATTAAATGGCCACACGGGCGTGAAGTGCGTGGGAACTCACCTATTCCGGCGATGATTCTTGACTTTTATTCCAGAAGTTCTGAGAAAAATCCCTGCAGTCTGATCATGAAGGTCAAGAGTTTGGTCAAGGGTTTGTAGTTGCACCAACCGAAGCTCTCTGAGTAAAAAAAATTACAGTCAAACTAGACTACGAGTAGTCCCTCTTTCGCTTAGTCCGTCGAGCGAGACGGTAAACAAACCGCGAGGAAAAAATGGCGGCGTAAGACAAAATACCCCCAATCTTGCGTGACGAGCTCAAACAGCGTCGGCGTTATACGTTAGGAGGCTAACAAAACCTTGAACACCTAAATATGCCTGGAATGTTTATTGTGTTAAAACCAATCACAGGCAAGATCTTCAACCACAGAAACCACAAAGAATAGATCAGTTTCCATCGGTCACGGAACAAATTTGTTTTGTTTAACCAGGTTTAACAAAATAAATCCTCTGTTTTTGTCACCCAAGAATTTAAATAACTGCTGTTCATATCCTATTGAAACACTAAGGAAGAGGGTTTGGGATGTTTTTAACGTGAAAGCGCTATTTTCAAGCGCAAGCGGGCGTGCAAGTGTGCGACCGGTAGGGGCGGCCGTTGGTCTAAAAGTACAAACGAGTGACCACGGGTGATCTTGGGTGTCCAAGAGTGACCACGAGCGACCAGATTGCATAAAAAATATGTCAGTGATGTTATTATGACGTCATTAGGAAGTCATTATGCAACATAGTGAGGCAGTCTCGTTCCCAGGCTCTTTGTCCTCTACCTTAGCGTTGACCAGGTGGGTGCTGGTCACGTGACCACCTGTGACACAAGCTGAAGAGTCAACGAATACTTTTTGTCGGTCTCAAATTGAAGCGAAAGGACATCCTCACGTAGAAAAGATCTTTGGCTGGAATAAATTCAAGAATCATCGAATTGGTGAGTTCTTCTGCTTTTCAAGCGGTAAGGCCATTTATCAACCTTTAGCCTTCATCAATTAATAATTGTGGAACTGATTAGAAGGCGATTGCTTCTTTAGTTTATAACACACACACAAACATAATGTTACGCAAGTATTTTCATAATGTGATAGAAACATTCTCACAATGAAACACCGTCGGGAGATCGGTTAGTTGGAGCAAGACGATTTGCGAGCAGTAAATTTGGTAGTTGGAAGCGTTGTTTCAATGAAGAACAGTGTTTTGCGTGACATTTCGCGTGAC